GGGGACGACGTCGATAATGGATTATGTGTATGTAGGGCGGTGGGATGGCACGAAAGAGTGGTGCGGGGCGGTGGGGCGTCCCGTTGCCACCAGATTTGCGCTCCTGTGCCTGTGCAAAGCCGACGCCTCAGATCAAACACACACCACCCGGTCCCGCGTCATCCCAAGGTGGATGATGAGACGCACGTCGACCTGGATGAGGACGAGACCGCGGCCGCCATGGCCGGCGGCGCAGGCGGCGCGACCAGCATGGCCGGCGGCGGCGACCAGAGCATGGGCGGCGGCGGCGGCGGCCCGGGCGCGGGCGCGGGCGGCGACGATGAGGATGAGGATGAGGAGGTCAAGGCGCCAAAGGGCGGGAAGGGGGGCGCGAGGCGGAGCGTGCGGATGGCGGCGCGCGACGAGGACGGGGATGCGGGGGAAGGTGCGCTGCTGGGAAGGGGGGCCGGGGCGGGTCTGCGTGCGTCTGATGCTGCCCTTCGTGAGGGCAGCTGTCGGGTCGTGCGCGTGACGGTGTGAGCCGAGCTGCACCCTGGTGCAAGCCAGCACAGCCTGAGGTTGATTCTGTCTTGCTGGGGTTTCTCTGGGCGGGGCCATGACCATTTTTTTAGTTTGATTCCAACCACAGTGTTGCCACTCGCCGGCTTTGACGGCCAACAGACGAGGAAGAGGAATCACGCCCAAAGCGCAGCCGCGCCGGCACCAAGGGCGGCTCGAAAGCCGGCGCCGCGAGCGGCGCCGGCGCGGCGGGCGGCCCCGGCGCGGCCAAGGGCGGCGGTAGGCGGCCAAAGACGCTCAAGGCGCGCGTCTGGCGCACGCTGACGGGCTGGATGGCGACCGTGGTGAAGCTCAACGGCAAGAAGCTACTGCCCTCCAACGCGGTGGTGCTGCGGCTGACGGTGCCGCTGGCGCTGTGGGTGGTGGCGGTGGTCATCGTGTTTGGGGTGTCGTACGTGCAGCTGCAGGGGCTGCAGGCGCCCCTGTCGTCGCTCAACGGTAAGAGGGGCAGCAGGTGCCGCAGGGGAGATGGGTCGGCTCTCTGGTGTGCGCCGTTGCTGGTGTGTTCCCTGTAATACGTTTAGGAAAAGCTTGATTCACCCTTGTGGTGCGGGTGGTCCTCGAGGGACCCCTGTTTGAGCCTTCCCAGGTTGTTGGTCGGCCCCAGGACGGCCTGCCATTGCAGCCTCTGCACCAAACTCAAGGCACCTACCCCATTTTCGCCCCATCCCGGCCCGCCCCGCCCCCGCCCTGCCTGATCCTTTGCCGCCCTTCCCCGCGCCCCCTCCCAGCCGCGGGCCACGTGACGTACCGCATAGCCCGTGTGCGGCTGTTTGGCAACCGCATGATCTTTGAACCCAGTCAGGAGCACAGGGACGCGCTGCGGGGGGAGCTGCTCACACTAAGGAAGGTCTACCAGGTGCGCACAGGCGCAAACCTGGGGGCAAGGGCAAGGGCAGGGCAGGGCACGCGGGGCCAGCAAGGCGGGGAGCCAGGGGATCTGCCTGCAACCCCAGCTTGAGCCCGGGGGATGTGGCGATTGGCTGCTGGAGTTGTGTGGGGCAGAGGCCGCACTTGCTGCCGTCTCGGGCGGTGAGAGGGGATGGTTTGGCGGGCGCGTCGTTGTGGCTTCTGCCGGCTGGAACACTAGGCAGCAGGCAGGTGGCGATCAACGTGGCCTGTGCTTGCTCCCGCACACGGAGCCTCTCCCCAGTACTGCCCACGACACCGCCGCCGCCGCAGGCCTTGCTGTATGGCGGTGAAATTCAGCGGGTCAATCCCAACACAACATATGACTCGCAAACACCAGCTGGCCTCTTTGCAAGCCAGGTGTGTGTTGTGAGTTCATCATGATGTATGTGTGTGTGTGTTTGTGTGTGTGTGCATGTGCGTGTGCGTGTGCGTGTGTGTGTGTGCATGTGCGTGTGCGTGTGCGTGTGTGCGTGTGCGTGTGTGTGTGTGTGTGTGTGTGTGTGTGTGTG